AATTGTTTTTTTGTCATCGCCTTGAGTTTGGATGGACTGTCTAGTGAGCAAAAACAAGATGCTGAACAGCAGGTTCTGTAGAGAAAAGCAATTTTACCTCCCATAATATTAAGTGCAGTGGGGAATATCTTTGGCTCCACGTCCTGCCTTTGAGCACATGCTATAAAATTCTGAAATTATGATATATCGAGTTACAGTTTCATTTTCTGTTTGAAACACCTTGAAATTTCTAGGACAGCAGTTGTTTTGCACCCCATTCAGATGTATCCTACTTTGAAGAGATATGCATCACACTTCTTTTCATGAAGATTTTGCATTTATATTTTTTGCCTTTACCTTTTTCACGGAAAAGATGCTCAGTCTGGAATGTGTGCTTGGAAAGCAATCTAAGGGGAGTGCCCCAAAATATACAGTGCTTAAGCAAAACCAGACCTTTTAGAGTTTCTGCCCTAGTCAACACATAGTTTTATGAGCACACATCTTTATGCAGTTGGGCAATTTTTCTGAGGTCAGTGAGTCTTCCTATCCTTAAAGTTACCTTTACATACCTAGCTGGCTTGGTCTGTGTTTCTAATACCTTAAGGCTTCTCTGGGCTTATCTTTGCTGAAGTATGTTGTGGCTTCAGTGCAACTCTTCAGTCAGATCTGCTTTCACACTGCACACCTTCACTGCTGTTACTCCATTTATCTTCATTTTAACCTGGCCAAACCTTAACCTATAGCTCAAGGTAGAGCAACAGATCTGTTGTGAAAGCAAGTCTTGTATTCTATGCATTTTCAGGGCTATTTTACAGTCTGGTTATTCGTACTCAAGCTAAGCTTGAGAGGGTGGATAAATTAAAACTAAGTGAAAAACATCCTCCGAGACATTTTGCAAATGGCATGTTGCTTTCTGTGTTGTATGGTCTTAAATGAAAGTGTTATTCTGTCCTGGGTTCAGCTTACAGAATTTCTTTCAGATTGATTTTTGGTATGCATATCTTTTTTTTTAAATGGAGGAATGAATCCCACTTACGTGGCAGGAGGGTTAGCTGGTTTGCCGAGGTGCTGGGCAGGCAGCATGCTCCCCCAGTCCCAGCCTGTGGGGCAGAGGCGGGAGGGACGCGCCGAGAGTTGCTCCCGCTGAGCTCCCCGGCTGCCCGCTGTCTTTTTAAGATGTGTGTGGGGAAGTAGAGGATTGGTGCACAATAGCTCCTACAAAGCACTTTATTTATTGTACTGTCAAAATTTATGAGATCCTAACCTCATCAAGTGCTCCCAATAAATTTGGGACTTCAAGTGGGTATTTTCTATGTAAATGGAAAACTGTATTAATTTTAACAATTTAATTGATGTATCTGTGTGTTGATATGGATGAACAAGCTGTCAGCTGCTTTGTGACACTCACCCTGGTGATCTGCTTTGGCTGTATCTCCTTACTGATCCCAATTAAGGTGAAATCAGAAAAAACAGAGGCTAAATGGAGAGGTCAGTGTCAGGCGTCTCCTGTTACCAGACATTGTTATTTTCTGTACGTGGGGTAATAAACAGGCTGTTAATCAGTGCATGTTTAGAATAAACTAGATTCAGTTTTGCTACACTGCAAAGATGCAGGAGATCTTTCATTTCTCCCCAGCGCTCTAAACCTCAGATAAATCATCCCGAGTCAGCATTCAAGGCTCAGATAAAAAGATGTCCTTCTTTCCCTTTCTTCTCCACCTCACATGCAGATGTACCCACTGGGAGACCTGCATGGGCGGCCCCTGCATCTCAAAGGAGCCTCTGGGTGGATGGTGGCAAGTGGGCCCACCTCAGACAGCTCTGCCCTGCCACATTGCCCCAGTGCACCCAGAGCCAGCAGCCTGGCTTGTTGTGATAACCCACAGGCTACCCAGTCACAAGCTCTGGCTAGAAAAACATAGTGAGCCCATATTAGCACATCCCCTCCTGCTACTGTAGTCTCTACTGCCTCTCCACCGAGGGGTAAGCACTATTAGCTGGAGCCTCAGGCTGGAGCCCTCCTTCTAGACCACAGGCTTCTGCTTCCCATTGGGCCAACTGGATGTGAATGAGAACTAAATGCAGAAAACATTTACCATCATTCCTGTACTTCATGCCCCACTGACATCTGTTTTGCTTTGCTCCAGATAAGAGCCTGATGCTATTCTTGAGGCAAAGTGAATTGGAGCCATCCACCTGCATTCCCAGAGTGTCTCAGACCTGGGCTTTGGCTCTGGAGATGCAGTTTTTTCCAGTGGGGATGATTTAAAAGTGCCCTATTACACAAGAAGGTGGTGTTAACAGCCACAGTGGGGGAAAAAAGAAAGAGGGAAGAAAAAAGGAAGAAAATAAAACATCATAGAAAAAGGCACTACCTTAGTCATAGTTCAGCCATGTGTGGGAGAGCTGGAAAGAAGGAATTTCCAGCCTGCTCAGCTGCTTCCTTGAAATGCTAGAGCTAGTCTGTAGGCATGGCATGAAAGGAGATGTGACCATCAATGCAGGGCACAAAGCAAAAAGAATTATCAACACTTGGCTGACACAGGAGGTCAGATCTGAGGCTTCTGTAAGTGTTGCTGGCTCTAAAAGTTGATGAGCAGCAAAGATAGGAAAGAGATTGCTTTTACACTCGGACAAAATTTGAAAGACTGCTCTTTTGAGATACCATGGAAAAAAGCCTAAAAAGTATTTCAAAAAGTATTTCATGCCAAAACTCTTTTAGTCTTGACTTACACTAGGGATGTATTCAGTACCCTTCACATCTAAGCAAGTGAGGGGCTCGTTTTCCAGGAGGAGCTGAACCTGTTGCAGGATCTCTCCCCGCATGTAACAAAATTTTATAGTCCACCACCCTGTCTCACCCCCTTTCAAGTACACAGCTGCTCTCGCCATTTGGTTGCCTTTCTATAGCATTGCTGACAAGTCACTTTTAGCATTGCAGTTTTTTGAGGTCTTCCCAAACTGTGTTTCTCTCATTGTAGTCACTTTTTAGCTATGGTAATAGGTCAGGTCTTGGTTTTCCTTTTGTGAAGATCTGATTCTTCTCTTGATCAGGCAGTTTAATCTAGAGTTTAACTGAAATGCATTCAAGGTAAGTGAATGCTGACATTGACTTCCAGTGACTGGTATCAAAGTTCTAAAATAACTCTGACTTGCTGGTATTTGTAAGGCCTCATTTGTTCGGGCATGAGCTCTTTTGCTGGGCTGCAGTTTGAGTAGTAAATACAACTATGAAAGGTGTCACAGGATGGGCAGTCCAGATCTCAGGCAGTTTGGTATAAAGGGGCCTTGTAGAGCGCCTTGGCTGTGCTCTCCTTTTCTTGCATAGAGTTATCTCAGATGCATTCAGATAAAAGCTGAGTAGACTGGGCTTTCCAGATAGATAGCAAGATAGACCATTCTCATGCATTTTAGAGCTAGCATTTACACGTTATTTACTAGTTAGTAACTGCTGATCTCTAGCACAGACTGCTGCACTCAGAAATCAGTGGGATAAGATGTGATAGTTCACAAAGTCAGCAGAGAAACAGACTCCCATGAATGAAACCAGACAATGCTTTGTTACTTGCAAATCCAAAAACTAGAGAATCAATAGATATTTTTGGGTTTTGGAGTTTTCTTTAGCTTTCATTGAAGCACCAAGTTGTCAAACATGTTGAAGCTATTTGCATTCAAGTTTCAATAAATGTAGTGCTGGAGATTCCTCTAACTGATTTTATCTTGTTTTTAAAATAAAATCTGCATGATCATTCTGCATCCCTTCCCTGCTGGCATCAGTTTTGTTCTTGCAGCCAAGAGAGTCAGTTAATAGTTTCATTCAAACTTGCTGGCTGCGGATTTTGGTTTTTTTGTTTCTTCCATCCC